AGCAAAATAAAACAGACACTATGTCACACCAAGAATATCCATTGTAACAAATGGAATCAAACTAAATTATTATTAAATTATTATAATTAATCATCATAATTACTAAATATATATATGCGCGCGCGTGTGTGTGTGTGCAAATATATACATATATATATATATATATATATATATATATATATGCGGAGAAGTGGGATCTTCATTCTACAATTAGTGTATATACATATATATATATATATCTGTGTGTATGTGTGTATACATATCTGTGTGTGTGTGCGTGTGTATAGTGTATTATATCGGTATTATATGCCCGCGCGGCGCCCACGTGCATGACACATGGCGCCCACACTAAGCGGCGTGCCCCAACGGATAGGCGGTTCTCCTCGCCCCCCCAAGCCAGTGTCTCGGATACTTAAGACCGCGTTTTGACCCGGTCAAAGGAGAGTGTGCCCTGGAGCGGTCGAGGTCACGTCTGACCTGGGCTGGGCCACCAGTGACCCCAGGCGACCATCCAGCCGACCGCACGATACGCAGGTGTCATCCTTGTGTTACAACTACGTGTGCTAACTCTTATCAATAAAAGGGTTTTTAAGTTTTTACTACTTCCTGTCACCAATGTTTAGAGGTCCCTTCTATAATTCTTACAGTCTTATAATGACCCTTACATTCTGGTGACAGTGGTGGACGACTCTCCACCGCCTTACAAGTGATGGCACGCAACCGAATCATCCTCCGAAGAAAACCGCTCGGCTTCAAGCAAACGCAAGATGATATTTCTTCAAGAAACCCGTGAGTACACATTTTGGGCCCTTTCTCTTTTCATTTCTTTTCTATTTTTTCCTAAATGTGTTAGGCCGTGTACAGCCAGCTCACGTTAGTTTTTTGGGTTAGAGTGCTAAGTATAGCAATGGCATATTCTCATTTCTCATTCTCTGACCTCACTTCTCATTACTGTTAATCGCGGTATGGAGTTAAACATTATGAAATCGTTCATTTATTAAGTGTCTATTTATTTATTTTTTTTGTGATTAAATTATATTGCTTCAATTGTATCGAATTTAGCGCATTTGTGAATTTATTCTTTCACGAATATTCACTCATTAAATTCTTCTCTCTCCATTTCCTGTTTTGACCTGACCTCATGTGAAAGTCATTAAGCCAGCCTGCCTAGACAGCTGGTAGCTCTGACCTGGCTTGACCTTGAGTGATTGTCACAATGATATGGCTGAGAAAACAGCTTGCTATTCCCTTTTAATTGTTTGAACTAGTTGTCACAATATAGGGTTAATGCATAGCAACCGTTACAAATTCTATCAGCGCTAGAACGGAACTTGTAACGCGACTTGTATAATTAAATATAACGCCAAGAGGTATCCTCATTGAAAGGTTGTAATTATGCGTAATGACTCACGTATGAGAGTAGGTTAAGGTAACTGAAGTAAATCATACGTTCGGCAAACTTTGAGCCAGGGTGACCGCAATTATGTCCATTAATTTAGGACTAGGATTTAAGTCTGATTTAGGATCCACTTAATTAATCACAACCCGTTCACACTTTATATGTCGCCATCATGTTGGGTAGATCCCATCGGTTTTGTGATTCATGATAAATCCCCGTAGGGCATTTCATGAGCGCCCATCATAGATCCGCAGACAGAGTGGGTAATTTATAGATTTTCCCAGCTCGTTTAAGCTTCATAAAATACGGAATTTTTGGGGACGGCTCCCCCCGTCAAGTGAAGTCTGCATGGTCGGTAAAGACACCTGCTTCCTCAGGAAAATTCCCGAGAAAATTTGCTCGCGAAAAGGCTTGCGAATAATTTTCACGTCACCATTCATTAATGTGTCATTTTGTCGCATATCATTAAATGTTAAATTCAACGTGATACTTGAAATAATTTTGAATTATGTCTATAAATAATTAGTCGCATTATTGTTAGAATGAACTTTATTCAGCGTGTTGGCAACACTTCTGCTATAGGAGATCACTCTTACTTTCATCTGACACTCATCAATCACTGTCACTCAAACATGCACACATACTCACTCACTCACCGACGCAGAACAAAAGACACTAAAACCTTCATTAATAGGATTTGCTGCTGTCTTAGTTGCAGGCATAAGTATTTGTTTGCCGCAATATTGTTAGTCATGATGCGTGACTTGTACATGATTTTGTATTTACATACTTCCCTTTCTGTTTCGACATTTGGTTCAAGTAAATCTTTGCAGATTGCCAATTGTCATTTACTTTAATTTATTCTCGTATCTATCAGAGACGGTTTTGGTAGTTCAAGCTGGGTCCTTGCGGATCGCTACCAGCGTCTCCCTCTTCTATTTTCCTCTGTTAACTTAACTTTGGGAACACAAAACACAAAATAAAAAAAAAAGACGAAAATGTCTTTAACATCTTCTCTTCTCTGTCGTTTTTTCTTCTCTCACTATCATGCCCATTATGTGTTATTCTGGTTCCCGATATCTGAAACGGCACCGAAGGAGGCCCTGCTGCAGAAACGGTCACCTTCGGAAGCCATCAGAAAACGTCATCGGAGATCGCCGCTCGCCAGGACACCGAGATCCAGTAGGGATCCGCCGTCCTATGATGCTGTGGACGGGCCTGCCTGGATGCCGCAAACCCAGTCAAACTAAAGGAGCTCATTAGTGCAGGTATCAGCCGCCCTACGATGTCGAAGAGGACGCTTCCTGCCGGGCGCCCGTAGATCCTGACGAAGATTACGAGGACGTCTGTACGAGCGCGCAGCCGAGAAGGACCTGGACGGAGATCTGCGAGACGTGCATTGGGTGAATAAGCCGCCGAGTTTGACCTGTACGCGGACTACGAGGATGTCTGGGCGAGGACCTGCACGATATCAGTCGAGGACGTGAGGATGTCGAGGATGAACGGATTACCAGGGATCAGAGCGAGGATGACGACACAGAACGAGCAGCCACGGAGATGCACCAAGGATACCACACCCGAGATCGAGGACGAGCAAGTTGGAACCAGACAGGTTGGGTCACCCTTGAGGAAGTCTAGATCGCCTCGAGGACGAGCCATGAGTAGGTGGCCGAGCAATATAGTGTATTATATCTGTATTATATGCCCGTGTGGCGCCCATGTGGATGACATGTGGCGCCCACACTAAGCAGCGTGCCCCAAGGGATGGGCGGTTCTCCTCGCCCCCCCAAACCAGCGTCTCAGATACTTAAGGCCGCGTTTTGACCCGGTCAAGGAGAGTGTGCCCTGGCGCGGTCGAGGTCACGTCTGACCTGGGCTGGGCCGCCAGTGACCCCAGGCGACCCTCCAGCCGATCGCACGAAAACCGCACGAAGTGTCATCCTTGTATTAACAACTACGTGTGCTAACTCTTATCAATAGAAGAGATTTAAGCCACCAAGCTTTTAATACTCCCTGTCACCAATGTTTAGAGGTCCTTATATAACTCTTACAGTGTGTGTATGTGTGTATAAGTGTGTGCATGCGAGTGTGCATTTGCATGTGCATGTGTGTATGTGTATGTAAGGTCATGAGAGATTTGGGCATGGTTCGTATAAACACCCTTCCTCGAGCTCGGATGCTGCCTCCTCCCGGGGGCCACCCTCCAGGGCCCCCACTATTCTGGGTCTACCCGCTGCCCGGGGTCTACTTCTGCACAGCCACCAGCAACCTTCTCCCCAATAAAGACTGCTCGCAGACCGTGCGTTTAGGTCAGCACAACCCTGACAAATTGGTGACAGCGGAGGATGTCGCTTCTCTCAAGCTTGCGATACGAACGATGTCTTTAACCATCCTCCCTCTGAAAAAACAAACTGTAAGCACGTCATTGGCAATTCCTTATCTTTCTTTTTCTTTCCCATGTGTGCATGGCGCTATGTTTTCAACAAGTGCAGTGATTTTTTTTAACATATGAGCATGTCCGTGCTAGTGTACTTTCTTTTCTTTATTATCTACGAAGTTTCTTCGAATTTCCTCATCGTGGTAGATTATCTTGATTTCATTTCCGAGGGCAATTTTCTTATGCGTGTTTTTTTCAATCTTACTCGGCCATATTAAACTGAAACATAGAGTCGTGTATATTTCTTACTCTTTTATTATGTAGTTGTATTCATGCATGCATCTTTTTTTTTCTCGAATATTCTAGGCCCGCGTGGGTATAAACGTTAAACTGTTGCCACATTCTAGGCACATTTTCTTGTCTATATTCCCTATTGCGTTAACCGATGCCTTATTGACGTAATTTTTGTCTATTGTTCAGTTTAATTACTTCGGCTTGGTTTAACAACACATTATTGGGATAATTTTTTATATACTTTGAACTTTTTTTCTTCAGACCTCCCCACCTATCCTAGTTCCCAACTTTTCACCCGCCCTCTCTGCCTTTTTTCAATATATCTGCCCAGGTCACTAGTGCTTTAATATTTTAGTGTCATGATATTTGTTTTAAAAAATCATTTCATATTCAAACAATTAATTATTATAAAGCGATATATTTTGTAAGCAAGATTCTCCTCTGACTTCACACATGCCTTTCACGACCGAATTTTGACCGCGTTTGACCTGTCTTCATGATCTTTACTGTGTAAAATGCCCTAGTCAATTGTCTTCCTATTTTCGCATTGCAATTTATTTCGTTCTTAATTTTTTTCACATAACTTTATGATTTTGATAACGTGAATTAACAATTTGCGATAGAGTGTATAAATGATAGCATTAATAACATCAGCGTAATTCATCAATTGTCCCTCAAGGATGTCCAGTTCAGACCTTGCATAAATGATTGTACATAGTGTGATTTAAGATATGCATTTCTTCAAGCTGTATTAAGTCGTATGCTTTTATTTTATTTTTCATTATTACAGTGTTAATTTTCATTACCGTTGTTCTGTTTCGTCATTGGTTCATTATATATTACATTTATAAATTCAGATATTTTTTTCTTTCATTATTCCTGCAATATTTATCACGGTAATTCTTTATTTTATTTATTAGTGTTTCGATTGTTTAATTTTTAGATGCAGTGTGTTTCTTTTTGATACATTTAATGTTGTTATAGTAGAATAATCGGATATGAACCTCGAGCTCCCTCAAGTGAGATGGTCAACTCTGATTACCATCTGACTCCACCCGCGAGTAGACAATTCATCAATTCATGTGAAACTGTCTCTGGCATCCTAACGATTTTCTTCTTTTCCTCTCCCATGACGATCATTTAGATGCAGAACGATTTTCAGTCTTTCTTTCATTGGTTGTTCTACATCGCGAACTTCATTTCATCATTATTACATGGTCCTTGATGAATGTGGTGACCGGCCCGCGGCAAGCTTCGGCGCTCCGTAGGACCTGACACACACCGTTTGGCGAGTTAGGTTCCAGTCATCACCACCAATCACCGCTTACCTCTCCGGACCTGACCGGAGAGTAAACATCGTGCCTGGCCCATTTAAGCCGCGGAGTCCTAAGCGACAAACACACTCATCGGCTTGACTCTGACCGTGACACACCTCTGTAACTCCAGCAATAAAGAGTTGAATTGACTATCGTGTGTTTACCTAAACCACATGAAGACCCCACGCTGGGTTCTGGACATGCAATTAGCATTCAGTCGAATGTTGTTCTTGTATGTGCCTAGACACACACTTATCGCTGCAATCCGGTGCCCGTGTTGTGCCCATTGTTTTACGACTCTACGCGAGCTTAACCCTGGAATTGCCCAATGGGATGGGATGCC